GAGGTGTGGCGAACCAGGAGAAGGGGCAAAAGGAAGGGGGTGAAGAGCAATGGGAAGAAGAATCCAGGCTCCAGCAAGAAGGGCCGGTCCAACTTTATCATCTCAGTGGCGGTGGGCGCGCCGCTGATCATCGCCAGCACCTCCTACATCATTCCGGCGCTGGCCAAGTGAGCTGATCTTTGAAGCTATTCTAAATCACAGTTTCTAAACATTACACTTTCTCCTTCCTTCAGAGTGGTCGACTTTGTGAATTTGCAGTCCTACGACTTTCACTGTAAGTCCTCTCTTCTGTCCAAATGTCTTCCTCTTTTTCACTCCCAAACTTTTCTACAGCTTATCGAGCCGACCGCCCGTACACTGGTCACCACTCGCCGCTCTATCCGCGCTCCACCGATCAGGCGTACTTTAGCACCCTTAATGTCGTAAGTTGATCATCACTGAAAACCGTCATCATTTTTACTAATTTCCCCTCCCNAACTTTATCATCTCAGTGGCGGTGGGCGCGCCGCTGATCATCGCCAGCACCTCCTACATCATTCCGGCGCTGGCCAAGTGAGCTGATCTTTGAAGCTATTCTAAATCACAGTTTCTAAACATTACACTTTCTCCTTCCTTCAGAGTGGTCGACTTTGTGAATTTGCAGTCCTACGACTTTCACTGTAAGTCCTCTCTTCTGTCCAAATGTCTTCCTCTTTTTCACTCCCAAACTTTTCTACAGCTTATCGAGCCGACCGCCCGTACACTGGTCACCACTCGCCGCTCTATCCGCGCTCCACCGATCAGGCGTACTTTAGCACCCTTAATGTCGTAAGTTGATCATCTTATGAATACCATCATTATCATTCTTACCAATTCCCCCTCCTCCCCCTTTTCAGGCCTGGGCGGCGACGTACTGGGCCAACAGCGGCATGCCGCTGCGCAAGATCATGGTGGGCGTGCCGACGTACGCCCGCACCTACAACCTGGTGGTGCCCATCGGGCAGAACCAGATGAACGCGCCGGCGAGTGGGCCCGGCCTGGGCCGTGGCAAGCTGAACTACTCCTCGGTGTGCGCCTTTCTGCGGCTGCCGGGCGCGGCGAAGCAGTTTGACGTGTACAGTCAGGTGCCGTACGCCTACCGGGCCTATGACTGGGTCGCCTACGAGAATGAGATGTCGGTGGCCATTAAGGCGCAGTGGGTGGTCAAGACGGGCATGGGCGGCGTGGTCACTTTTGCGCTCAACTTTGATGATGCAGGTGGTGAGTGGAAGTGACTGGGCAGTGTGCTTGCTCTTCCGCCTTCTAATCGCACACCTCTTCATCATCTGTTTGCAGGAACCTGTCGCGAGGACGGCAAGCGCTTTCCACTGCAGAAGACCATCTCCAATCTGCTGGAGCTGGCCTCCATCAAGTCCTACAAGCGGTCGGCCTTTGTGATGAAGGTGCGATACCGGTGACGATAGGGCACACACCACTGGGGCGGTGATCATCAGGTGACCAGGTAATCCATTCTAGATCTTCTTCGTCCTTTTCTTGCTCTTCTTGTCCTCGTTCTTTTTCTTGTTGTTGTTTTTGTTGTTTTTTATTTCGTTGTAAAATATAAATCCCCTATTCTGTTACTGCATCTCCCAAAGCACTGCCAGCGTAGTAGGGCTGTCGTTGTGCTGGTCAATTTTTAATAAAAGTGTACGCGCTGCTACCGCCACCTGGTGCGACGGAAATGACTTACGGTCTGTCACGTCCTCTGCGACGGGTAGCGATGGCTCTTTTTTAAAAGCCGCGATGCAGTGGCGTCCCTTTCTGGCGCTCTGTCACTCACCGCCGTGCAAATTGTCTCCTTCTTCTGAGCACGGCGCTGCCAAAATCGCGCCAAAATCTTGCGGCAGCACAAAGAGAAAGCAACAGCTGCGCGGCTCTTTAACACCGTAGCAGAAGAGGCAAAGGCAGCCACTTCACTTCACTTGCACGCTCGTCGCCGACGACTCCAGTGCTCTTCTCATAGTTCTGCTTTTAAAAGTCCACCAGTTATCACCATCACTACCACCAAAGACATCCAACAACACTCGAAGGAACACTCCAACACATCAACTCCATCATCATCAACAACAGCAGCCAAAGATGAACTCACCTCGGAGCGAGAGCACCAACGACGGCGCGCGGCCCTCCTCTCCGGAGGCGCCCTTCGTGGAGGAGCGCATCGAGGAGGACGGCGACCTGGAGGAGGACCTGGTCGAGCGGGAGAATCCGCTGCTCGAGGACGATGACGACGACCTGGAGGCGGACATGCTGGCCGCGGCCGGCTCGCAGAGCCAGCAGAGCGATGCCTCGGGATCACAACAACGACGACGCCGACGAGGACGCAACATGCGAACCGGGGCCGCCGCCGGCGACGACGACGAGGAGGAGAGCGAGGGCGAGGAGCTCTTTGGCGAGAACTTTGAGCGCGACTACCGCCCCCAGCCGAAGCTGGACGTCTACGACCCGGACCAGCTGGACGACGGCAACTACTCGGAGATGTCGCTGGGAGATCGAATCGCCGCGGAGGCGACGCTGGCCGCCCGCGACAAGGCCGAGGGCCGCCTGACGGGCCGAATGCGCCGCGGCCTGGACCTCTACGATGACGGCACCTCGGAGACGTCGGACGTTGCGGCGNCCGCAGCTGCAGCCGCCAATGCCGATCGAAAGCGCCGCGCCCGCGCCCGAACTGCCGCCCTCTTTGGCGAGGGCTTTGGCGAGGACGCCGAGGACCAGCTGATTGAGTCGATTGAAAATCTGGAGGACACGCGAGGCATGTCCGTCCGCGAGTGGGTCGTGCAGATGGCACCGAAGCGGGAGATCTACAATCGCTTCAAGAACTTTCTCCGCACGTGCACCGACGAGAAGGGCCGGAACATCTTTCGCGACAAGATTCGCGTCATGTCGGAGGACAATCGACAGTCCTTTGAGGTGGACTACCACATTCTGGCGGCCGCCGAGCAGGTGCTGGCCTACTTTCTCCCCGACGCTCCGCTGGAGATGCTGGAGATCTTCAACGCCGCCGCGAAGGAGGTCGTCCTGGAGCTCTTTCCCGACTACGGGCGCATCAGCAAGGAGATCTACGTGCGCATCAGCGAGCTGCCGCTCATCGAGGACATTCGCGCCCTCCGCCAGCTGCACCTGAACCAGCTGATTCGCACGCACGGCGTCATCACCTCCTCCACTTCGATTCTGCCGCAGCTATCGCTGGTGAAGTACGACTGCCTGAAGTGCCACTACGTCCTGGGGCCCTTTGTGCAGACGCAGACCGAGGAGACCCGCCCGGGCAGCTGTCCCGAGTGTCAGTCCTTTGGGCCCTTTTCGCTGAACATGGAGGAGACCATCTACCAGAACTACCAGCGAGTGACGGTGCAGGAGGCGCCCGGAAAGGTCACCGCGGGCCGAATTCCACGCGCCAAGGACGCCATTCTTCTCGGTAAGTGAAGTGCTCGTTTGTTTACATTTTTCACTATGAGTTTTATTTCTAAAACTCTTCTTTACTTTTACTCCAGGCGACATCTGCGACAGCTGCCGCCCCGGCGACGAGATTGAGATCACCGGCGTCTTCACCAATGCCTACGACGGCGCGTTGAACATCGCCAACGGCTTCCCCGTCTTCAGCACGGTCATCCTCGCGAATCACATTCTGAAGAAGGACAATCTGCTGGCGAGCAGCAGTGTGATCACCGACGACGACATCACCGCCATTCTGGCGCTGGCCAAGGACCACCGCATCGCCGAGCGCATCTTCGCCTCCATCGGCCCCAGCATCTACGGGCACAAGCCGGTGAAGCGCGCCTTGGCGCTGGCTCTCTTTGGCGGCGAGTCGAAGAACCCCGGGGAGAAGCACCGCATCCGCGGGGACCTGAACATTCTGCTGTGCGGCGACCCGGGCACGGCCAAGTCGCAGTTTCTCAAGTACCTCTCGAAGATTGCCCCGCGGGCGGTGTTCACCACCGGCCAGGGCGCCTCGGCCGTCGGCCTGACGGCCTTTGTGCAGAAGAGCCCGGTGACGCGCGAGTGGACGCTGGAGGCGGGCGCCCTGGTGCTCGCCGACCGCGGCGTCTGCCTCATTGACGAGTTCGACAAGATGAGCGACCAGGACCGGACGTCGATTCACGAGGCGATGGAGCAGCAGTCTATTAGCATCAGCAAGGCGGGCATTGTCGCCTCGCTGCAGGCCCGTTGCTCGGTCATTGCGGCGGCCAACCCCATCGGCGGCCGCTACGACCCCGCCCTCACCTTTGCGCAGAACGTCGACCTGACTGAGCCTATTATCAGTCGTTTCGACATTATCTGTCCGATTCGCGACGTGGTGGACCCGTACGCCGATGAGCAGCTGGGCAAGTTTGTCGTCCGGTCGCACATTCGCCACCACCCCTTTGCCAGCGAGAAGGAGCGCGAGGCGGTGGCGGAGGCGAATCGCGCCGACCAGGAGGCGATTGCCCTCGACCAGGCGGAGAATGTCAATCCGCAAAATTCGCAGAACTCCCAGGACCCGACCGCTGCGGCGGCCCTCTACGACGACGCCTACGACCTGCGCCCCATTCCGCAGGACCTGCTGCGGAAGTACATTGTCTACGCACGGGAGCGCATCCGCCCGAAGCTGGCCAAGCTGGACCGGGAGAAGATTGCCCGCCTCTACTCTGAGCTGCGGCGGGAGTCGATGCTGACGGGCAGCATTCCCATCACCGTCCGCCACATTGAGAGCATCATTCGCTGTGCGGAGGCGCACGCCCGCATGCACCTCAGGGACGTGGTCGGCGAGGCCGACGTCAACCTGGCCATTCAGACGACGCTGGAGAGCTTCATTGCCACGCAGAAGCACAGCGTCCAGAAGACCATTGCTAAGGTATGTTGTGCTGTTTTGGAGGAGTTTATTATGGACTGTTTCTAATTCCTGTTTTGGTCCTGTTCCTGTTAGACCTTTGCCCGGTACTTTACCCGCTCGAACACCGAGCTGCTCTTCACCATCCTCCGCCAGATGGTCCACGAGGAGCTGGCCCTGCGACGCAGCCGCGCCCGCAGCATGGGCGAGCCGGTGGAGGAGGAGGGCTCCATTCGCAAGGTGGAGATTAGCGAGCCGGAGTTTGCCAAGAAGGTAAGTGTTTTTATTTGTGTTTGTTGTTGTTTTCGGCCTTTTCTAAAACAAATCGACCACACAGGCTCGTCAGTTGGAGGTGTACCACCTGAAGAACTTTTACGACAGTCGTGCCTTTGCTGCGCAGAACTTTTACTACGATGCGGCGCGCAGAGTCATTACGCAGCAGTTTTAATAGCAGCCAGAGAAACTCGCAGATATCCCAGCGCCAATCACACACAGACACACCCACTTCAATTATTGCCCTTTTAACCCCCATTTATTCATTTTTCAGCACACACATTCTGATCTGATTCGATTTGATTTGATGATATTCCTCAGGACTTTAGCTCCTTTCTCATTTTCACAATACCTTTTTTATACTATTCTCTCTTATTACCTTTTTAATAGCCACAGGCTTCAGCAGCAGCAGCAGCTCAGTAACTCAGTAAAGCCCACCATGTACTTAAGACATTACGATGATGATCATGATCATGATGTCCTTTCTTTCTTTTCAAGCACTCATAAAAAGCATTTGCACAAAGTGGCGGCGATTGTGTTTTGTGATATGGCAGAGGTGTGATGTGTCCACCACTGTACAATGACCCGTCGTGATGTGGTGATGGAGATGACCGTTTCTAAAATAGGTAATCACTGACAGCACTGACACTGTGTTTGTCTAACTGTGTGGAAGACCACTTCAAGGCCAGCAGCACATCAACACATCACCACCATCAGCAAGCTAAGTAGTCCACCCACACTTGCTAATGAGAGACAGCTTAACTAATTTCCTCCTCCTCCTCCTCTTCTTCTTTCAGGGAGCTCATTTCGAATGGCGTGGGAGCATGACACACTGAGCATGCAATGGCTACTTTTACGCAAGATCAGCAGCACCAGCACCATCAGTGGCAACTTTCTCTCCCGGCTGCCGAGTATATAGAACACAGTTGAGAGCAGGAGGAAATTGAAATTGCCATCTTCCTCTCCCTCTCTATATGGTGCCATAACAAGAGAGTGCGTAACATTTGGCAGACGTGGTCGTTGTGGTGATCACACACTCTCCTACTTTCCCATCTTGAGCCTCTTCTTTCTCTTTCGTTTTCGTCTGTTCACTTCTGCTCTTCGGAAAAGAGCAGNGTCGTTGTGGTGATCACACACTCTCCTACTTTCCCATCTTGAGCCTCTTCTCTTTCTCTTTCGTTTTCGTCTGTTCACTTCTGCTCTTCGGAAAAGAGCAATTCGACTCTCACTGCTTCAACGACGACAGCGGCGGCGGCTCAACTCGGCGGTCTATTTTTCTTTTCATCCCCGGGAAGCTCCCTCTCTCTCCCATTTCAGTGTGTGTGTGCTGTACTGAGAGCTAATTTACTTCGAGTTGGGGAGCTCCAATCGAGGCACACTGAGCTGAGCTTTTGTGCTGTCGACAGTGTGTTCTGCGGCCGCCGTCGCCGCTTCGATTGCCCAGCACTCAACTACTCAACTACTACTACTACTACTTCTGCACACTCCTTGTCCTGTGAATTGCGAACTGTGAATGCTTCGGCGGTGTCTGTCTGTCTGTGTGTTTGTGCCTGCTATTCACTGGTGGGGAACACAGCAGCAGAACCTGCAACAACTTCGAGAAGAAAGCGACGAGAAGAAGTAGTGGAGGAAGCAGAAGAAAGGGAAACCCGTTAGAAAAGGAGGCAGAGGCAATTTGTCACCGTTCACTTAACTTCACTTCAACATTCACTCGCTCATTCATTCACTCGCTCGGCCACTGTGCTGAGGAGCACCACCACCACCACCATCGCCGATTTACTCGGCCAGCAGACTGCACTTTCAGACTACTACTGAACATACCTGTCACCACCATCCTCCTCCTCATCCTCATCAACATAATCGGACGAAGAG